AGGATGAACCGGAATCGCCCAATGAAGGGCGCGGTTCGAACATGTGATGAACCGGAATCGCCCATTGGGAGGGGGGGGGGGGTGGGGTGTTTGAGAGATTTGATGAACCGGAATCGCCAAATGAGGGGACGTGTATAAGATATATAGTGGACCGGCATTGCCCAATCAGACAGTGGGGGGGGGGGGCGAAGTTAAAATATATGTTGAACCGGAATCGCCCAATGGGCGGGGCGTGTTTATAAGATCTGTGGTGAACATTGGGTTTCTGGGTTTTGTATTGGTTGTTTCTCCATTAACTATCCACTGGTTGTTATTGTTTTGCTAAAGGTTTATTATGTGGTTTCCTATTATTTATTGCTGGTTTTTGTTGGTTTTTAAGTTAAACCCCAGACCCAGAGAAGATAATATGTAGATAACCCGTAACCCAGAACAAAAGACGCAGATATTCCAGTGAGCAAGTCGAAAGCGTGGCAGGTCCCAGCAAAGCAAATTAAAAAAACACGATGCAGATATCCCGCAAAAAATACAGATGCAGATAATAAACAAGGAAATAACAAGACGGAAATTACTTCTCCTCCCCGTAAATTCATTAAACGTCTGATCCTTGTGTTCACGGTTTTTTCGGGCCCATATCTTTGACACATCTGAGCAGCTGCACTGGAGGCACCAACCGTTAAACTTCGGACCTCCAAACAATGTGCCCCTAAATTGTTCAAGAAGCGCCACAAGGACAAGCAAAGCGCGAGCAGGTTCTCATCGCTGGGACCTAACGCTCACATACAAGGCTCAGGACCCTAAACCCTGAACCATGGGACCTAGGGCTTATAAAAAATGAAAGGGTTAGTGCAATCTGGTGTTGCTTTCCCGGGGTATTGTCTAACAACGTGCTTTGAAGCCGCAAGCACACAGCATCGGCGGCTGCGGCATCGGGGCTAGGACCGGACGTGCTCTGGACCTGAAACTGATCTCGGCCCGATCCGAAACTGACAAGGGCCTGATCCGAAACTGACCTGGCTCGATCCGAAACTGAACCCCTCCGTTCCGAAATTCAACCCCGAAACTCACCCCCTTGATCCGAAACTGCCCCCCAGCCGATCCGAAACTAGAACCCCGAAACTATGGGCACCCTGAGATGTCTGCTTCGCTGAATCGGCATGGCTGTTAGGGTTCGGTCTGCTGCTCGTGAGTGACGTTCTTTCGAATCTCCTCGTAGGCACAGTGCGAAAGGAGATCCTACGTCTGCTCCGTTGTGATGCCAAGGGGAGACTTGGCCCAAACGTTTTGCTACCGGTGCAGTTGTGAGAAGCCGGAGATGGTAAAGCCCCACCCTATATCTGTACTCTGGCGGTGAGCGCGATCTGTAGCAATTCGGCAAGGCCGGTTTCATGCTCTTAGCGTTACTAGCGTTACCTTTTGCTCGGTGGTGGCAGCTCAGGAGCCCGGCGCTTACAGAGATTCAGCTATCTTTGCTCCACAGCGGGTGGCGGGTGGCTGCTTAGTCCCTTATCTGCTTATCTGCTTGATGGCCGTGCTTTGAACATGTAGTGTTTTCGAGGTTCGGGATGGCGTAGCAAGGAGCTCCACGAACATGCAGGTCTCTCAGCATGCCGTGAAGTTGAGTTAACCAGCCACCGATCAGGTTTACTCAACCTGCGCCTTCAACCCTAACGAGAACGAGAAGCTTTGCTCACAGTTCCTCAAGGATGTCGGCCACGTTCTCCGGACGCAGATTAATTACATTCACGCTTGAGGTTTGAAATTCAATCATCTGGTCCTGCCGTGGCAGGAGTCATGACAAACCCTACATTTTACAAGACCTTCAAATGGATGGCATGTTTAACACGCAGTCACTCAGTTTGACACACAGCATTAAAGTGAGTCACTGCCTTCCTAAAGACCTGTGCCTGGCAGTGCTAGCACATTTGCTCCCGAATAGCTGTCATGTTTCGGATTGCGGGAGTACGGTATGGGTGGTGGGTGTGGAGTCTCGACTGTCCATCTGCAGAGCTGAAGTCGCAGGCAAATCAGCAGAGTAATGAGAACTGCGGGAGTTGTGGGAGCTCGCACAGTCATTCACGAGGGAAAGTCACAGTAAGGCAAAAAGGTCGACATGCATATGCTTACGATGCTGGGGCAAGACGTGACCATGATGATGATGATGGTGATGATGATGACGGTGGTGGTAGTGGTGATGGTGGTGGTGAGTGGTGTTTGGCCATGGTGACGATTATGACGACAATCTGTTATTGCGAGGTGTCGTTAATTATATTTACGAACATGATTTGCTTCGGCCATAAAGTCGTGACAATGTCACTATCAGCAGTAGTGCAGACCTCGTTGCTTCGCTTCGGGTGGTTGGAGGTTCCCTGCCCTTTGCCGTTGCTCTTGGATTTGCACGTCTGCAGGGGGGGGGTGAGATCATGACATCCTTGCTTGTTGAGTTTTGCATTTCTGGACCTAGCTGGGTGCACGAGGGTTTGATGCTGTAAATGAATTTAGATGAACAGCTCAACAACCGCAACAGCAAACCAAAAGCACAAGAGGTCGTGGATGTAGCAGCAATGCATACCTTTGGTGGGCAAATGAGCCGTGTCGTTTGCTTTTGACTTGCTGATCTGACTGCACATGCTGCGTGTATCTTCATTGCCGATGTAAGTCCAGCCATGGCAGTGTCGTTTGCTTCTGACTTGCTGATCTGACTGCACATGCTGCGTGTATCTTCAGTGCCGATGTAAGTCCAGCCATGGCAGTGATCGCAACTGCCATCATCAGCGATGGCATTATCTTTGCCCCAAGATCTCCTCTACCACTAACATTTTTGTCTGATTTTTCGCGCTTGTGAGGATAGACCCTGACCAGCAAAGCACCCAGCTGTGTCCGCACATTGCGCAGGCTGCCATACCCGTGGAGATTTTGTCTCTGCTTGAGCTCCCTTCCGCGGTGGGACCGCGCTTCCACGTGCTGAGCAAGGGCGGAGGTGGCCTAGGCCACTGCAATGATCGATAGGACTTCTTACACCTCGAACCGAAGATGGATGTCGGGATTCAACGTCGGGTGGGAGTGTCAGCGGTCGGTCGGGGTCACGGTGGCATTTCCATACCAGAGCCATGACTTTGTTAAATTGCAGTTGCAACCTTAAGCCCCTCCTCCGCCACTTCTGATCCGTGAAATGGGTGGTGTCAATCGCTGGTTCAGGAACTGTGCGCTTGCCTCTCCACAGTTTTGATGCACCGTGGTCGCACAGAGAGATGCACTCTCGCGGGCCGTGGTCATCCTATCACTTACTTTTCTGCGGTTTCCTTGCGGAGTTGCAGATGCTAGTCATTGCACTTGCTGATGGTGCCCCTCGAGTTCGAGGGCTTCTTCATCTGCTACTTTCGGAAATCAGTGGATCACTCAACTGCCGCCGGCACCGCTTCTGGCCTTGTGTGCTTCAGACATCTGGAGTCCCCTGCAGCCAGCTGTGCGAAGTGCGAACATATACGCCACCCCAGATCCGACAGAGGTTCCGATCGTTGTTGCACGCAGGATCGAAGCTGAGTTCATCCAACCCATAGCCATCTTGAGCCCCAGTAGTGATGTGCCTGAGAGAGGGGATCTTACAGAATTGTCCCGTAGCTTTTTTTGGGAAGGTGCGGTTGTGCGCACCTCTGACTTCGCCTCCTCTCGGTTTCGACGGAGGCCCTGGAGCTTTAGCAACAGCCTTCGACACTACAGCAGTTGCATATAATGCTGCGTGGCCCATGTCTGAGAGTCGTTCTGGATGTTTCGGCCCGGGATTCTCCCAAGCAAGGGGCTGGGCATTTCGGGCACTTTAGACCCCTGCCCGGCAGCGCGTGCCGAGACACCTGTGCGCAGCTCAGTGACGGTGCAGTCGTTGCTCTTTGCACTCGCTTCTTACCTCGCCATTCCCCTGGCCGACTCGACCCCTCCACTCTTCCTTTCGTAGGCAGGGCGCCTTCCTTTCATCTCCAGTTCCCGTCTAAGGCTTGCCTCCGTTCGCCCTTCGGGGCAATGTCGACGACGGTCAGTGCGACCGGGCGCCCCAAGGCCTACTAATCCCCTTTGTGTTCTTCCTAAGCTGCCTTCTTTTTTGCTAATCCCGTGCCCCTAAAATCCCCTTCCCCTCCCAATATTATAAATTCGGGAATCAGGAAAATTGTCACTATGAAGAACTAATGAGTGGGTCCCTAAGGACCCCTCCCGGGCCACCCACGTTTACGTTTACGGTCCTTGGGGCCGTGTCTCGACATGCTAGTACCGCGCCAGGGTTGGCAGCAGCAGTGCGCGGCCGTCTACTTCAAGGCGCCTGGCTGCCGCCTGGTTTTGGGATCGTCCGCCTTTGAAATTCCTCGAAAATTGACGTTTCGATAAGGGTTTGGGTCAAAACCCTGTTGCATAGAGTGGTCCTCTGCTTGGCGTGCAAGGGAGTGCTCTGTAAAACGATAGCAACTCAACTAAATTTAACTAAACTTACCTAAACAACGATACGTGTGTGCAGTGGCAGCCAACTGAAAAATTATGCCCACAGCCTTTAGAAACGATGCCTAACTTGGCCTGATTTGGGGTATGGAAGTCACAGCTTTCTATTGGGAAGAGCCGAGCTATGGAAATCACAGGGTTCTATGTGGAAAAGCCACAAAGACGATGCCAAATCATTCTCTTGGGGCACGCATGTCAGATGTGCCAAACTTGGGCCATGGAGATCACAGCGTACTATTGAGAGACGCATTGCCATTTAAAACGATGCCTAGCTGGGGCTGTGGACGTCAGAAAGCAATTGTAAATATGGTTTAGTTGGGCTATGGAAATCACAGCATTCTATTGGAAAAAGCACTGGTAAAGATGCCGACGTTGGGCTATAGAAATCGCACCGTTCTGTGGCGAAAAGCAGTTGTAAAGATGCCCAGGTTGGGCTACGAAAATGACTGCAGTCTACTGGGGAAAGCAACTAAAAGATGCCTAACGTGGGTTATGGAAATCAAAGCGCTCTGTTGGGGCAAGCATTTTTCAAGGTGACCAACTTGGGCTATGGTAACTAAATAATATATGATGAAGAATATAAAACAAGAAACCGCAAATTCATAATCAATATTTTATTTAAACAGTTTGATGTAAAACAAAAAGAAAGTGCAATCATATGTGTGTGTATATATATATATATGCATAATATGTTATAGTATATGACGTATAATAAGAACAGATAGGTAGATCTATATATATATATATATACATGTATATATATATATATGCTACCCCCTGCGACGACCGCGGTAAAATAGACATAGTGTACTCCTGGCAGGCGACTCCGCTGAGATCGGCTGATGTGACATTCAACCGTTAAGCAAAAACACAGCTGAACTGCTCGTTTGTTATAAAGTGTAGGTTTTATGGTTTTGAGATTCAGGTTTGGAGTTTAGAGTTAATGGTGTAGTTTTATTTTTCTATTTAAGAATAATATTATGCAGTAAACGTAGTCATCTAGAAATGATATGAGTCTATCTAGACAAAAGAGTTTTACTTGAACTATAATTGTGATTCGTTCTTGATATTTAGAATTATTATATAAATACTCATTTTTACTATTCTTATTAAAATTAAAAATTCTTGAGAATATTAGAATGATATAAACTTTATTACTATTCCTCTTGTTATTAGTATTATCTTTATGATTATGATTACTGCTATTATTTATTATTTTTTACTACTTATTTAACTAAATGCTTATATTTATAATCTTTCTCTTGTAATTACTTTGAATGCATTAGATTTTATTTATTTTTACTACTATTCTTGAAGAATTAAGTGCGGTCGGTCAAATTGATTTCGGTCCAGTTTAACTCGAGGCCAACGTGAGGGCCCACGTTTTTTTATGGTGGCTGGATGCATAGGGCAACTTATAATATTATATTTTATAACAAATTATATATATATATACATATTAGTGTCAACCACTAAATCTCTCTCGGCCGAAAATACTTTTACCCCTACTTAAGTTCAATTATCTCATTCAATTGAAAAAGGTTTAATTCTTCTTGGTGGGAATAGTGGTGTTTTGTGATGAGCCTGGTGAACACTAGAAATACCAAAATAACAATAGTGTTAGTAGTAGTAGTAGTAATAGTAGTAGTAGTTATTGTAATAATAGCAATAGCAGCACTGGTTGTAAACGTATTAATTACGATTGTGATCACCTTTGTGTTGAACTTATGCTAGAAGATCAAAAAGTTCAGAAAATTTGAATTGAATTGAATTTAAAACTTCGTAATTCAACTTTCTTACTTAGTACGCTCCACTCATTCAATTTAGTAGGAGTAGAAGGATAGATGATCCAAAATATTTTTGAATGAAAGCGGAACAAGGGCAGAAAAATATCTTAATTTCAAAATTTCTAAAAAAATCGAAACCTTCAAGATTGCTAGACCTAGTGGACTTGCTTTTTCCAAAATATTAGGGCGAACTTTTGGGGAATTTGGGAATCCCTATCTTTCCGATATTTTCAACATATTCAAGACTGCCAAAATTTCCAAAAACTCCAGAGTTGGTCCTTAACATTATCGTGAGAATTTTCTGAGCATTTCCGATCATGAGCATCAGGGCGCTAAAGCATCTAATAGTGCATAATATCAAGGCCGGGAGACTTTATCTATGAGGTCCTAATCTAGGGGCTCTACGGGTCCGGTGTGTCTCTACGGGCCTTGCGGGCTTCCTTACGGGCCCGTGCGAGTCTCTTGCGGGTCTACGGGCTACGGGGCCCGGGCCTGGTTAAGGACCTTGGTCGAAAAATTATAAAATTAATATGCTTAGAGAGAAAAGAAAATCTAGATTTTTTTTTATAGGCTCCATTTATAAGATAAATAATTAAATATCTTCTATTCTAAATATCTTTCGAATCTTATTCAATCAGAAATTCATTTTCAGAAAATATAAAATCAAATTAAGAATTAAAAACTAATAAATATAAATATCGAGAATACCCGAAGGCTTTATTACTAGATTTTTTTATATTATTAAATTCTTATTATCTTCGATAATATATGATAAAATTCGAGATAATAATCCCTTCTAGCATTCTAGAAAGAAATAAAAAGAAATTTCTATAAATATATTTATGAATTACGAATATCATATTTCAATATCTTCCGTTTCTCGTATTAATATATTTAGATTCATAATCAAAAATCTCAAAAATCTATGAGATTTCTTATATTCATATATCTTCTGATATAATGAAGACGCAAGCAATTTATATGCCCAAAAGCGACAATTAAGCATGGGGAAAAACCACGATAAAATAATTAATAAAAACGACGAGATTCGAGCTCTCCAAGCTCCCCTCTCATTTATTAAAACCCGCTGCCACCCGCCAATTCATTTCTCATATTTTTTTCTAATTCCAATTTTTTTCAAAAATAGAAGCAGAAATATATAATTTATAGATAATTCTAGAATTCATTTTTTATATAAAATTCCCATATCCTATAATTTCTATTATGAATATCATCTAAAAGCTGTAATATTATATAATAAATATACATATTTTATTTCATCATATTATATCATTCTATTCAATTATGAAATTCGTATTCGGAAATCCAATATATAATATCTTTTTCATCAATATCTTCGAAATCAAGAATTGTATATCATAATAATTATCAAATTCTTATTATCAAGTAGACCATATATTATATTAAATATGATTTTTATCTTAATCTTGTCATCGTATCATGCTATAATTTCGTATTGAATTTCCAACAGATTAATCATCAATTTCGTATTCTAAAGTCGGTCGTCTTCCATGCTGAGCATTTCGAAAAATCTATTTTACTTCACACTGCCCATCAAATTCGCACCTCAAACTCTATCGTACGCTGCCAATAAATATCGCGAACCAAAGTCTATCATACGCCCATACTTTTCATTAAATCCCATTCTAAATTGAGGCAAGGGTGTCAATAATCAAAAATTTCCTACTGGGGGCCGCGCCGCCAAATGTAAATAAAGTCAGCAAAATTGCTCATATTCTGCTTTGGCTTTGCCTTATATAATGTACGACGCAAATAAATATGCGAAACTCATGACAGCTCGTAAAAAACTTTCAAAAGGCAAGTCAATATGCAAGACTCATTCACTCTAATTAACAAAACATCCACGCCGAGCATCTCCAACGCTCACTCGCGCAAAATGCCCATCCCGTAGTACAAAACCACCAGCAAAATGCAAACTGAAGCCAGCATTGTCGTGGACAAAGCGGCGCGCCTTACGAATGGCAGCACCATCCTGCCCGTTAAAACTCTTGCAGGCTCCCTCACCTGGATATCAGAAAACTACCTGTGCGTTTCGTGGCCCGCGGCTGACCGTTCAATTTTTTTCATAAACAAAACCACACTTCTCAAAGCTGCGCGCAATTCATGTCTTTGGAATAACGATGGCGCGGCGAAATATATTTCTTCATTGAACGTCTCACACTCATGGAACCGAAGAGCACTATTGTAGGAACACATTCACCAATAATTTCGACTGCCGAGGCTTCCCCCAACGTCATCTCAATTCTTTCCGAGAAAGTCCTTTTACCGAATCAACCATTGGTGGTCTGACCTACCTATGGTAGCAGATCCGATCGCCCTTCTTCTGGCAAGGACTGGTAGAGCTGTTTCCAAATAACAGGACATATGTGTGGGATGCTTGTGCATATGTGCTTTGCATACGTCTGCACAAACACCATATAGGGCATGGCAGTTCAAGACGTTTGAGAGTTTGCACACGCCACAACGGGAGGCAACAAAAAGAACGAAGACATGACAGCGACCGTTTATTTCAAAGAGTGTGATACTGATAATGAACTACTTGTGCAAAGAAGCTGCGGAAATAGTGGCCGTCTGATCATGATGATCGTCTCATGGAGCCAGGTGTAAAGCCATGTGCAACAGTGTGGACTAGCAGCCAAGTTTGCATGGCCATCTGACCTTTCGGAACATCTTGCGAATATCGCAGACACACACGCAGCGACAAATGGCAGCCGACAGCCCTGACATGACAGCGTGCCCAGTACGGAG